AGAAGTGTTGGTAGCGCTGAATGGGGTTGGAATATTTTAAATGTGTTAGCGGTGTGTAAATATAATTTACGCTAAACAAATACCTTAACTACTCGTGCCAGTGCAAATACTAGCTTAAATCGAATCCTGCTAATTTGTTACAATTTATTCCAGCGCTGCATACAAAATGCGGAGTTTGCATTCCGCTGAGTCCTGAGTCCTGAATCTGTCCGTTGCCTTGTTCAGCGAACTTTACTTTAAGTTCAACTCTAATTAAATGTAAACAGTTTGAATTAAGGAGCGTTTAACTTTAGCGAATAGTAGTAGTTTACACTGGAGACCCTTTAACACCTTCAGAGATAAAATATTCAAACTTAGACGGAATTTTTGCCGGATAACAAGCCATTAAGATGAAATTGTTGAAGAGTAAAAATAGTTGAGAAGGAGATAGTTTTCTTTATTAATGTTTATATTACTTAAGCTGCTATGTTATGGAAGTGTTTGAAGCTGTGGGATTGCTTATTTTACACCTTACTTCAGTAATATTTTGATAAGCTTCTTAAGAATATATTGGGTTTGTGGTGATTATGCTTGAAAGAAAAGAATTTAAGTACTCTAATTTAAATTCAGTTCAAGAAAAACTATAAAACAATGAAATTAGTAAGTTAATTTTAAGTTAAATATACAAGCCATTCTCAGCAGTTTTTTAATGACCGCAAACTTAACAAATAAGTCTTAAAATGAAGTCAATTTGTTGTGCTTGTATTCTGCATGAGGTATCACAATATAAAGTTGTTTTTACTTATAGCACTGTCTCATTTAGATTCTGCTAATTATAGCCACTAATGAGGATGATTTACCATACAAAGTGCTCATTGCATGGTAAACGATATAAATGAGCTTATTAAGAATAAATCAGCTTATTTAAGGTGAATGCAACCTTGTGCAAAAATAAATTTCCTGTAAGGGAAATTATCAAAATTTAAAATATGTGTCAAATGTTTTATAGGTAAAATGTAAACAAACAACAGCTGAGGTAAAAACAAAGGCACTGAGGGAGTAAGTATTAAATCTTTGTTATTATTAATTGAATATGTAATTGTCATATTAAATATATACTTTAAATGATTTAATATATTAATTATATATTTAATTTTTTTGTGTAATATGTTATTAAGAGAAATTTAAAGAGTTTATAAAAGTTCTATCAATTGCATAATTGAAATCAATATGAATATAAATAAGCAAGCGCCTAAATTAGACAGTGTGAATGTACTATTACCTTTGATTGGTGTATTTATTTACCATATAAACAAATATTCTGTCTCAATTACGTACATAATTGAATTTATCCCATTCTTTATAATATTCAGGAGAGTTTCGTTAGGAAAAAAATTTTCTTTATGAAAGTTAGATCGGAAAAAATTGTTTAAATACTATGGTACTTCAATACAACAAAACTGCAATAAAGTTAGTAAAATATTATTTTCATAAAAATACGTGACTTGTGAATTGATAACATTCAAGTCACAATTTTCCTCAGTTTTGCTATCACATTCCTCGCAAGAATCTATGAGATAGAAGAATATAGACTAAAGCTATTCCATCAAATTTAGATAATTTAATAGGTATTAGCTGTCATAGAAATACCTTCCTCAAATTCTATTTCTTCTGAGGGCAAAAGCCGGGCATTCACAGAGAAAGTGTTTTATGGTTTTTTGTTCCTGCAGCGTTTAGCGACTTCTGCAGTGAGGATTATGAGGAATAAGCAATTTCTCCGTGTGGATTCCTATACACCATTGACCAGAAAAAACTGCAGTAAGCTTTGCAGTGTTCACATAATCTCTTTTGATGAGTTCCTTATATTAAATTTTATTATAGGTGGGCCAAGTTAACCGGGAAGATGCACATAACTTAAATACCCTGCTAAATCAAAAATCAAAATATTAAGTTAAATTTATTTTCCATACTGTATAAATTAAGTTTCTTCACTTTGTTATACAAGCAGTTAGTGCTTAACAATACATTGAAATGAAAAACAGCACTAATAAAGGAATGGAAATAAATAATAGCTTAACTCCTAGTTTAATAGCGATAAGAAAACAGAATACATTGTAAAAAGGAAAATATATATTAAAAAATAAAATAAAAAATAAAAAAGAAAAAAGTGCTAGCTAATAGCACTAAAAAATAAGAAATATGTATATAAAAAGGTTGTGATACTTAAATTTATGATTGAAGATTCATGTTTAATATATCTAAACTGATTCTGAAAAGGTAGCATAAGAAATATATGGAAACTTTTTTTTAACAAATTTAGCTAAGATTACTTAAATGGGCGTTATAGGAAGATAATAGGAAGATTCAATATGCTTTCAGTTTATGTAATGTAATTATTATGGATAAAATAGGAAGATTTAAAAAAGAGTAGTATATAGTTGCCACTAGTTAAGTGGAGGACCTGAAGAAGTTGGTAAGCTGTTTAACAAGTTTTAATGCATATTATTTGAGTACTGTAGATTTTTGGTTAAGATACTCTTTTCTTGGGCTATAAAGCTACTGTGTTATTTTTATTATACTCGCAATGCATTTTAGATACACTTTGGGGATGTTAAATGGACTATCAAGTAAGTGTAAACCGGACTATGTGTAGCCCCTAACAATGACTGAGCAGATGAGTGACATTTTTTACTTTCTTCTTTTACCCACAATTTCGATGGTAGTCCCCTCAAGAACTTTCTAAGGGATGAGCTCTCACTACTCCATATATGTCATAAATATTTTCACTAGATATATTCTGTATAATTCATTATGAAAAGGAATAGTGAATTTAGAGTGAGATTGGGGTGTATAGTACTATCGTTGATTGAAAAGTAAGGGTTTAAGAGATATTTTCTTTAAGTGATGAAGAAAATTTATAAGAGAGAGGAACTAAAAATTATATGGTTTTCTCTTCTTTGTTCTTTTTAGTTTCTTTTAAGACTCTTTCTTGCACTTGCTTTTTCTTGCTCTTGTTTTTGAACAAAAGTGTTTTGCTCTTGGCTCTTGGTCTTCCTTACTCTTGCGATTTTGTTTAATAAAAAAAGCTGTAGTGGTTTTAATATTTAAAACACTGCTGCCAAAATATAATGATGTATTATGATGTATCCGCTTAATGTGACAAAGCGATGGTGATGTTTATAAATAACGAATTTTTAGTCGTTCTTCTACGGACGCTAGCATTGTGGGCCATAAAGGGGTGGTATCACACTTCTTGAAGAAGAAATTGCATTTAAACGAATTGCTTATAATATTATTTAACGCAATGTAAGAGATCAATGTTCAATAATTGAAACCACATCCGCGATTTGCTAACCATTTTTCTAAATTATGTGGGCGGAACTTCATTGATTATTTCAATTCAATTATTGTTTATTTTTGCTGGACAGTTATCGAGCGTTTAAATGTGGACCCCTCTGGTTATGCCCCTTTTATTTTGCGTTTTCTTTGTTTGACAAAAACAACTGAATATTAATAGTATTTAGTTTAAGAGCTGCTTTAGAGAAATTGGAATCGCACACTACTACGAATACACAATGGAAAAACAAACATAAATAACTAAAATGTGTTCCTGGGCTCCTTCAGGCGCTCATCCTGCGAGTATAATTATTAGTTTTACTCAGTCTTATTGGCCACGTAGCGCAAAGCAGCGCTGAAGTTGGGTTTTAGCAGACACTTCAGCTTAAAATGCAATTTATAACGTTTAAGAATTAGTTTTCGTCTTGCACTCTCATTTGCAACTGCAAGGATGTGTTAAGCGCAAAGGACAATGTATGCCTGATTGCATAAACTGTGCGCATCTTCGATGTTAGCGAATATCAGAACAAGTGACGCAGTTGCAAATTATGACATAAGTTGCTTTGTCATGTACGCACGAAACTTCTTAAATAATTCAAAATAATTCCAGCTGATGTGCATTTTAATATCTCCCATTCCGCAAGTTCTCATATTATTTCGTTCGCACTCAGAACCAATTTAGCCTTAAATTGCAATTATGCGCTTTAATGCTTCGACTAAGTTCACAGTTTTCAGATTTCAGCTGCTCATAAAAACTAATAGTTTTTAGGTTTGGGGTTGGAGTTGGGGTTGGGGTTGGGTTGGTTCTGATTTCGCTTTGTTGGAAAATTGTGCACAATTTTCATTAAGCAGAAAAACTATATTTTCTGGTCAATGTGTGAATAAACTGGACGTGTGGACGCATGGACGCATGGATGTATGGATGCATGAATTCGGACTCACTTTTCGGTTGATGCATAAACACTTCACACACACAAATGCACGATTTCTATTTCTCTAAAAACTTTCAATTTTGGTCAGCAATTTTATTAAAATTTTTTGTTTTGTCTGCAATGAATGCTGTTGCATACTTTTGTGCGCATTCAATAGTTTCTTTTCATTACAGTGGCAGCTAGAAAAATAGTACGAATTATAGTTTTGAATAACTTTTCCTAAAATATTCTGAATTTTTTCTATGAAAAACAATATAAAAATTGAAATTACTATTTTTATTTTGTATGTTTATTAATTTTATATTTTTCAACTTGAATTATTTTTCATTTTAGTTTCTTTTTGCAAGTCATTGGCTGCTTGTGCTTTTTTAAGCATTTTTCTTCCATTAATTTTTAAAAGCTGATTTAAATTGTTTCAATTTGTTTACAAGCTTAAAATAATTGAAGGTATTAAAAATTCCATTGTTTGTGTGCATTCAATTATTTTTTAATCAAATTATTAATGCAATCGAGAAATTTTTAATAAAACGTTAAAGTGAATATCGAAAAAATAACAAGAAAAAAATTTTAAGCTGGTTACGACTACATTTCAATACCCTTCACACACAACACATACTTTAGCAGCATATAATAATGTAGAGAGTCCGAAGTTTTTTAAGGTAACTACCTGCCATCGAGGCTCAACATTATGGTGCTCTTAACGGACGTATTAGTATAATGCAACGATAAAAGCCCACATTGGAATTTTAAGGAATGCCGCCGGTACCAATTGAGGGTGTAGATTTAGATATATTGCGTGAGGCGATTGAAGTGTTATCAACTACACACATTGCCAACTATTTGAATTTCATACAAATGACAGCTGCTTATATTGTCAACAAGCTCCCACAAGCATTTGCGTCTAAGTTTTATAGAACAAAAGGTTTGCAAAATGGAAGAAGTGTGATTCCGTGATATTTGGCTAGAAAATCACAACCAGCTGTTGTTCTCAAAGTGAGTAAAATGTTTGTGTATCGTACCATAAATCGTAATACTAGATGAGGCAGTGTCCCCAAACGCTAAGATGATGGACGAAAAAAAACAGCATAATCACTTGAAATCGTTAGGAAAGTGAATGCTCGACTTAAACGAAATCTACGTCGTAGTGGTAATCAAATGGTTCAAAGATCTGAAAATATCCCAGGGAAGCATCCTTAACATATTCTAAAATGAGCTCAAAGTAAAGTCTTACAAGTTCCAAAAGGCACAAGATCTTACACCAAAGCAACAAAAAGTTAGACTCGAAAGAGCAAAAGAGTTGTTACTCTTCCACGAATCTGACGAAATTCCAAACATTTTGTTTTCTGATAAGAAAAATTTGTCCATTGAGCAGTTCATAAACTCTGAATCTGATCGCGCTTACTGATTAGCTTACTTAACGCACTACCGTTTACTCCTATTTGAGACTACGAATGATCACCAGAAGTAATTTTCCATCTCAGACGATACCATCTGGGCTATTTTGGAGAACAAGATGAAGACTAAAAATATGCCAGTGTGAATGTGTTGAAAAAATTCATTGTTCAGGAATGAGCCAAAATACCAAATAAATCATATTCGTAAAGCACACAACTCATTTTTTTACCGTTTGAAACCCATAGTTAAGGTAAAAGGTAGCCACATAGAGCTAGAGTGAACGGATTCTAAATTTTGATTATTTTCACAAATTTTTGTAATTTGAATCAATAAGAATTATATCACACAATAGATATGGGGTCTTGAATAGGTAGCATTTCAATTGCTTAACGCTGTAGTTTCCTTCTTAGAAGAAACCGAGGTTCATCTACCAACTCTGTTGTTCTTTGGGGCACAGTACTTTGTTGTAAAATGCAACTTTATATCGAATGAAAATGATATTTACAGTCATTCTACCGGCGTAAATTTGGTCAAAATCCAGATTTTTACAAAGATCTGGTTAAACGGTCAATTTTGAAAGATAGGTTATCTGTCTGTTAAATCTTTTTGGTGAGTTTGTGGAAATTGGGATATTGAATGGAACAAAATAGTAGAAAAGATGACAAGAAGAGGTTCTCATATTCACATAAGTGACACCGCGGTACGAATCTAGCTCATGTTTCTTCAATTCGCCTGTTCAGGTGCGCGGAAAAAATCCTAATTGTGACTTGTGGACAAATGGCTTGTTAATTAATCGGAAAGACTGGCATTAAGTCATTTGAACCGTATAGTCTAGCTTAGACAGAAATAATATGAAAAGCATTTTCGTTTTAAGCATACTTGTAGTTCGTGTAATTATTGAAGTTAAGTTCGGCAAGGGCAGTGTGCAGGAGTTGCGGATATGAGATAGAATACATCAATAATTTTTTATATCAGCGTCCGGGAATTCAAGAGTCCTGTTAAAGAAACCTGTGCACATGCCCAAGGGAAATCATTAAAAATAAGTCTACATTTAAATAATGTCAATTAATTTTTAAAAATATATTTTCAATGTTATGTTTGAAATAGTAGGCAGAAGCGGTGCTGTCTGTTACAAACGTCATAACAAATTTAATGTAGTTTTTATAGATTTGCGGAAGGGATGCAATCAATATCCAAAAAAGTTAAAACATTTTTTTGAATAAAAGATTTTAAATTTATTTTGCATATAAGTGACGTCAAACTTTTGTTTAATATAATTTTACCAAAACTGCTTGCATTTATACAAAAAGTTCACCTTCCTTTAAAGTAATTTTAAAAATTGATTTTAGTTAAATCAATT